CTTTTATAGAATTTTCTTGCCGTGCATTTTTATAGGTAGTCCAAGAATAACACATGATCTTTTAATGTCTTGTTTATTTGGAAGACATTTCTTGTTATTAAAACCAGTATAAATCGATTGAGTATGAATTACAATTATTACTTTATAGTTTTACATAGAGCATATTGCATTTTTTCTTTCTTAAAAGCACTGAGAAAATCTATTTTACAAGCAATGTAATAATTTCTGCGTTAAAATTGATTTACAGGCTTCCTAGGTTACAGCATTTTACTAAAAATTTGAAATTCAGAATGAAATAGTATTTTGACCTAGTTGTTCTGTTGGCATCAAAATTATTTAATGTTGTCATCAAAATAAGGAATTTAAAAAATTGATTGTACCTACCAAACTGTAATTTAATGTATACGGGCATAAATATCAAGTAAATTGTAAATTCATTATTGTAGAGTTGGAGATCAAGGACCTTATTTAGAAACCGTTCTTAGCCAACATAGAACACTCACTTTTGGCCAAGTCGGTCTTGGCCGAGTCCAAACTTAAATAAAAATTAAAATTCTGGTATAACTCCTCTATGAGTTCCAGGTGGTTCCAGCGTTGTACTGAAATTTAGAGATTGGCAATAAAATAACAAATGTGTTATCTTCTTTTTTGAGCTAAATCCTGTAGAACAATAATTATTTACCAATTTGTTATATTGTCCATCGCTAAATTCCCTTGATATCACCGAACTTTGAATTTCATTCAATTACGTCACAGCCAAGTGCGCTTCATAAATATGAAACTAAAATAGGCGTTTCAACCCTAATTTTGGGTTGAACTGGTTTTTGTAAGATCATTTCGATACACGTTTAAGGCTTGTTATGGTTCTTTCACGAAACAATTCAGGATCAGTGAATTACACTCGATCAGCTCAATAGATTATTAAAATCTCGCGACTTGTTTTTGAAAAATATATTTAACTAAATGTACTTGAAAACTGAATCGACAGTTTTGTTTGAACACTTTGAACCAAAATAAAGACCATTAAATGCAAGAACTGCTTGGCCTCACATGTGCATTTGAGCTTGTCATGCATTTGAGCATTCATCAGCTGACATTAGATACTTCAATCTAAGTATACGACTGACAGCTGCTTTTTATGGATGGACATCCGATTCTGACATCGTAATGTCAACACCAAGTGGTGGTCTCAGATATTGAAGTTAGGCTAATAATCTCAAATAAGATCGATCATCGAAATGTGAATTTCATCTTGAAGTGATTAGGTGTAATATAATAACAATAGTGAATAAGTATTTGAAATATTAAGGATGCTTTATTGCTTAGAGCAAGACATCCTCTGGGTAAATTGCCAAAAAATAGATAAAAAGAAGTTGAAGTCGGTTTTTAATTTAGTTGATATTATGTCGGATGCCGAACTAAAAAGGCTTGAAAAAAGAAAACTGTAAATAATTGCGTTCCAACACGTGTATATTTTTGTACCATCAAGAAACCGCACGAAATCAGTACATAAGCATTAAGTTTGTCCATGTCCAAATAGTTTCTTTGGAATAAACCTAATATTGCAATGTGACCTAGAAAAAAAAACACTTTTATTGTAACTGAATTTTAAAAGATTCTATAATTTAGAAAACAAGAAACTAAGAATATATCATATCTGTTTTCTAAAACTATATTTGTGGTAAAGGAGTAACCTTAGAATCAGTTCTCTTCATGCATACCTTCCAGGCATCTTACTAAATGTATATTTACTTGGTGAATAACCAGATCATTTTAATAATCGCGCATACCAATGTTTTTACCAGAAATAATGTATAGTACAGATTGGAAACCGGATGGCTTCCACTTGATCTACATACAAGGAAGTTCCTCTTTGATCAAGTGTTAATGGCGATTGTTGAAATTACATTTAATTCTAACTAATTAAAGTATTAAAATAGACCTTCCTAACATATTTTTAGCCATTACAATAGCCCACATTCAAAGGTACCTTATCTTTTATTTAACATTTAATTTTTTTAATAAAGAAATGCAATTCAATTTCCAGATGTTAATTTTAAATTTGCAGCAGTAAATGTAACAAAAATTTATTGCCAGATTATTCATAATTTTTACTTTATTCTCGGTAACTCGAACTTTGTTTTATTAAACATTCTGCTGCAACTGATCTATGGAGAAGAAATAATTATTTTACTTCTAATCAATTTCTTGTTTATTGTTCCATTTTGGAACATTCAGATTAAGACTAAGTTACTAAAGAGTACTGATATAATTATGAACACAACATATAAAATACTTTTGAAGTAACAAACATCGGTCAAGATACTACAAACACCCAGCATTAAAAAGGTTTGTATAGAAACATTTTTTTGGTTTCCTTTCTCAAATTTATTTCCAGTAATACTGAAATTATAAAGAACATCTTCAGTTGATATCATTTTTTATAAATAGAAACATCATGACACTATAAATTATATTTATAAAACTTATTTTTTTAATTCAACAATACAATTTTGTAAATTTATTAAAATAACTTAAAAATGTTACACAAAAGGAAACATTAAAGAGCCTAGAGGTGAAAATTCACTTTCACATATAAAAACAACTTAAAATAACCTAATTACAGTTGGCAACATTCTAAAAGGTTCAGCTGGCTCAAACACCAAACATCAATAGGAAAAAATAGCACTACTTGAGACTAACAACCAATTGCAAGAATAGAAACTAATGGTTTCTTACATTATATTATTAATGATTATATAAGTCTAGCACTTCTATAGTAGATTCTTGCAACAGGATGTTAATTGAATTATTTTTAAATAAAAAAAATTCGGCTTCCGCCTATAGAAGTTACATATACTGAGACATATCACAAGACACATATGTAAATATCATATTAAGGAGAATTTAATATCGTATTATAACTACAAGCACCAACAACTAAATATTCGGACAAAAACAAATTGCCGAGGCCTATGTATAGGGCGCAATATTGTATTGATGCCGGTGAGAACATTTTCTTATCCCCACATTTTTTCCCATTTCCAACCACCCTGAGTCCGAAAACGCAAAAAAATCCCTAGTCGTATATCTGTGCGTATATAAGTGTACCGACACAATAACTCTCAAACAAAGGCTCTGATAGACCTGCGGTTTTCACATTCCTTGATCAATTCGTCCAGCCGTTCACAATTTTTGGTTTATCTTTAAATAACAGTGCTTAAAATGAATTGAATTTCTTATGGAACTTATTTTATGCACTACATCATAAGAGACAGTGCAGTTTTGGGTACGGTTACTGATTAGGTAACGGGAAGGTGGGAACTACCAATTTAGCGTCCATTGAATGTTTTTCATTGAAAACTCCATGAATTTTTATAAATGGTTTAAAAAGAATTTAATAAAAAATTTTAAATCACATTTTAAAAATACATGAAAATAAATCATTAATGTCGATTTGATTATCACGGTGTACATTGCGTTAGGGCTTTTGTCATCAAAGATGTGGAGGAAATCAGTATGATACTAGGATTTTTAAAATGGTGGTATATAGCTTTGAAGACAGAAATGTAGCCATGTCTGAGCTCTAGTGGTCCTAGAGACAGGTTGGTGAGATATCAGGGAGTCTGAAGAATGGAAAAGTACTGTCAGTTATACAGCATATTTTTTTATACAATTGTAATATCAAACCAAAAAAAGGAAGACTCGAGAAATAGATACAAATAAAATTCTATATAATTCAGCAATATCGTAGAGGTATATCGTCTATACATAAAATATTAGGTAATGTAAATATGGCCAAATTTATAATCGGTGACGCATAAAAAGTATGGAAAACCGCTAATACAGAGAAAAAATACAGTAATGTCCAAGATAAAAATATTTGAAAGAAATAACTCAGGTGGGCGAGACTGGTATACAGATTTCAAGAGAATGTGGCCAAAAGTATAGTAATAAGTCAGGGTTACGATTTTATAAGGTATGTACCATACTTATATTTTTGATTTAGTATTCTGGAACCATAAACTTTATTAGGGATAATGAAAAATCTGTTAAAAAAATCACTTAACCTGAGTAAAATATAAAATGGAGACCACCAGAGAAAATACTCATCACGTTCATACATTTTTCAAATTATTTATATAGCATTTATAAAAAGTTGATTAAGTATTTATTAGAAAATTAGTGATGTCCGAAAATTTAGTTGTTGGGAACGTAGTGAGTGTTTTTAACCTTTGACTTCATTTTGATTTTTTAACATGACTCAATATTTAAGATGTAACAAAATGAATATTCCACAACGTTTTTTTTTGCTTAGAAATGAATAAATACTGTTCCCATTTACAATTACTAAAATTGTATACTAAAGTCATGACCAAAACTGTTTTAAAATTTGCCAACGAATTTTTTTACATTAACAATAAACGTCACTTTTCAGGATATTCTTACAGTTTAGTGTTTATATTAGATTAACGTCATGAGTAGATAAAATTTTAAATAAATTGAATTCATGATTATACACATGAGCATCCTTTTTATAAAATAAAATGAAAATAGTAAGGTTTTATTGACATTAAATGTGATGCCAATTGCTCTTATGCAACCTAAGATCATTTCCTATGACGTAAAAGTAATATAAATTTATCTGTAGATATTTGAATGTGATGTATAAGATTAAACTGTTTATCTACTATATATAGCACTATGTATGTACAATAAGTTGTGTTTTCATGAATCAAACATAAAAGAAACAAGAAAAAAAAAGGGATAAATTTACAGTCGCTATTTATAATTAAAAATTGAAATATAATATTAATAATAATAAAAACTTTGTGTAATAAAAAATCACTTATGTACAAAAACAACTACACATCTTCCAAGTTTTCTTGACCTAACAAAGTCTTTTATTCTTTTGTTTTTTAATAGTAAGCGATTATGGGAAAGATTACTACAACTACGCCCATCACAGTAATTTTTTCTTCTAGTGTGCCTTGCAATCGTCAAGGCCTATGGAATCTGAAAACAAGATTTTATTTTTAATAAATATTTTTTTGCTACATACGATACAGTATAATATATTGGCTGTTACAAATAAATATATGTATATTTTTTGGTCATCGAGCCTGTCGTGAGCCTCCTACAATATCGTCTGATTGGCATGGCAAGTTGAGTTCGCCACGAGTCTCTCACCAACTTCTTTTTAATTAGACTTAGTATGTGGTGAGCAAAACAAGTCAACTTAATTATTCCAACGAGCCCGCAACAAACCAGCCCGACTAGGCGCGCAAATGTCTTTGAGTTGTTAAAAACCTACAAAAGAATGGAAAGCAACGCGAGCCTCCATTAATCCTCCTTCGCGTGGTGCATGGTATAAATCTAATGAACTGGGCTCGTTGTTGGCTCAACACAGGCGCGGTTCGAGATATTTATATGCACCTTAAGTTAAAATACATTTATAGAAAAACCATCGACATATATTTACTATATGTGTGCCTCAATCGGACATTGTTTTTCTAGTAATTCCTTTTTCCGAAATAACATTTTATCCCTTAACAGATATATTCACCGTTTTTATAATAACTCAGATGGCTAACAATTAATTACGAATTATCAGTTTGATAGTGATTTTCTGTGTTTATTATAGAATATATAGTCCGGGAGGCAGGTCTTTTTGACCTAAAGGGTTATCCATAAATTACGTCACACGAATTTCATGATTTCCCCCTCCCCTCTCAACGTGTGACATATTATGGATGGCTCCTAGTAATTTCATGCAGACTGATTTTAGGAGTCAATACCAGATGCCACCTATCGAATGACGAAAACGACACTCAGCTGATCCAGTAACAGTGGGCGCGGTTGTAGGATGCTACGAAAGATATCGTCAACATTTTTTTTCAAAATTATTTCAGATCAGGTGAAATGTTTTTGTTTTACCGACGTCAAATAGTATATAAACAAAGTAATTAGCTGTACCGTAGAGGGGGGGGTTGGTTCACGTCAGCTAGGCATGTGAACTTGCAATAAAAATGAAAGTAATAGTATATTATTTAAGGAGCGGTAATGCAGGTCATAACTCACACAGATGAAGTTTGCAGCACGAGCCGCAGGAGAGTGCTGTAATTCATCAAGTGAGTTATAACTATTACCGCAAGTTGAATACTATACTTTATCTACGACTATAACAATAAATACTAATATACAAGTATCGAGAAAGAATTATATAATTAACTAGATGATAAAAACGTTTGAATCTTTGTAAAAGCTGTTACCTTTGTCGCAAGATATTTCTCATGAGAAGCTTCATTTATGAAATTATTAAGTTGTTCTGGCATAAATGTTTTTGCCTTTTCAGCTATATGTTTCTCTGATTGACGTTTAAGAAACGCACGTAATTTTGAATAATTCTCTATATTAATTCCATTATTTATGTTGAGTGTGCTTCTTACAAGGAGTAGAAAGTCCATAGATACGATGCTTTATATTTATTGCTAAGTTCATTAAAATATGCCAAAAGTACATTTTCTGTAAAAGAGTTACACCAATCTTGAAAATTTTAGTATACACCTTTATACTTGTTTTTTGATTTTTCTGGTAATAAATTCTGTATTGCATTATTATCTCTCCTATTTCTGGAGGTATACATAATAACTTATCATCACTATCTAAATTCATCTTTTTTTAGCACTATTATTAGGCATTCCAACGACCTGTCAAACAATAGGTGCCAGTGGGAAATTATTGTATATCTAAGGGGGTAGCGACATAATCTTGCAACTTGGACGCTATTTTTATTCGAAGTAGTAGTCGCCAAGCCTGCCAATTTATGAAGAAATGTATAGGTGGGTTTTTTAAATATTATTTTTATTGTGTTTGACATAAAAGATTTAAATGTTATCCATTATTCATTATTTTACGTAAAGTAGATAGAATACAGCGTATGTCGCCAGCCTTAGATATACCAAACCTTCCCACTGGAAATTCATTTGTTTGGAATGCCTTATTAGAAATTGATTTGAAAACGTCAAAATTATCTTGTTAAAATTTCAAATGACATTACTCCCCTCAATGTAATAATTGAGTGTTCCGCCTACTGAGAGGCGTTGACAATTTAATAATTTTAAAATCTTTTAATTATTATTCATTCCTTCCCAGTTGTTAAAAAATCTTTCTAACATTTTACGCCAATAGAACATTATTGACATTAAAATTTCCAAGAATTTACTGCGCACACTATTTATATACCGAATTATCGTAGGAGCCCAGCGTGAGTTATAATAACTCACTATTATAACTCACGCTATTTGTTTATTGATACTATTAATTGCTCAAAAGCACTTGAATAATTAATATATAAATTAATAGGAGTAGATAAAATTATTTTAAATCCAATGATTTTTTTTACATTACGTTTGGCGTATATACGAAAATATTAATCAGCTACATTTGCAGTTGGAAGAAGACTGTCAGTCGGAGCAAGAATGTGTGATTGCGCTCATGTTTCCAACCGACGCATGGAATTTTCAATGGTCCGACTGACGACTTTTCCCCCAATAGGCAATTAGCTGACTAACATTTCCATGTTTTAAATTAACCCTATAACATCCCTAAGTTTCAAAACGAATTGTCAACAGATTACTGAAGTGAAGTGTACATATCATATGAGTAATATTAATGTTCTATATTGGAATTCATTGATTTGTGTTCAGGTTCAGATTAATTATTAATCTAATTGGCATAAAATTATGCAAATGACAGGTTACTTGCTCTCAAAACAACATGACCGGTTACTTGCTCTCAAAAGAACATGACCCGACATCATTTTTTCTACATTGAAATGAAAAATAAAAAAATTTTGAAATTAATTATAAAAAATAAATTGGATTTTTTTGTAATTTGGCAAAAATTTTGGCTTACTAAAATCCTATCTGAATATTAGTTTTCAAAATCTGATGGATACAGAAATTATTTTTATAATGTGTGAATAATGAAAACTCTCTTTTGAGATTGGTTATAACCCGTGAGTAATTATTTTATTATTCACTCGATTATTCAACACTTATAAGTAATCATTAATGTTCCTTACAAAAATCAAAATATAATGATGTATTATTGAAGAGTTGCAGAGCAAATCGAGTTATCATCAAAATATACATTATAAAAACTATGAAACAAAAAATACACAAGACAGAAGCAACAAGAAATGTTTTATAAAGTTAAAGTAAATCGGGGTGATCTTTTAAATATTAATAATTCTCAATCCCTGTACTGCAAGATAGAAAGGGCTTGCAGACAAGCAATAATTAAAAAAAAAAAAAAAATCACAACAATATAGATTTTTTATTCATTACATATTTTATTAATAGTTATTACTAGTCCCGTATTAAAAAGCTAGTAATTGGAAAAAATTGTTCTGGTCATAATATAACAAAATACTTTTAAATTTTGATGAAAAAAACAAAAACACATGTTCTTAAAATTATGATCGAAAAAAAATCACCCATCAATATGTCCAAAAAAATTTCATTATGACTAAAATATTGAATATCTTAAAAGAATGCAGCAATATGCTTTTTTATATCTGGACATTTAAAAATTTTTGAGTAAGTAAGCTGAATATAGACACTCATTAGTTCAACACAATATAATTTGTAACTTACTCAAAAATCTTACTTTTTTCCTACCACTCGTCCGAATAAGTCACTGACACAACCAGTTTTGTGGGAATATGTTTCTTTTGAGCTAGTACATTGTACATTAAATAATTTCGTAAACTAGGGCTAACACCCCCTTCTATGCTTCTCTTTCTACGTTTGACGATAAGTTTAGTTCTAACTTTATGCATTCTGTAAAAAATTACTATTTCTAAAAAAAGAAAACGGAAAAAAGAAAACGAAAAAAGAGGGATTGGTTCGTAATAAGGATGTCTTAGATTCGGTCTGTAATGTATCAAAAATTCAAAAAATTGTGATGGAAGCGATTTTTATTGTTGGACAATTTATGAAAAAATACAGACATAAACATAGGATCGGCATATGGTGTTTATTGATACGGAAAAGGCATAAGACAGGGTTCCAGAGGAGGCGAGTTCGTGGGATGTGAACAGATATGATGTCTCAGCGAAATATTATGTGCAATTTGATTAAGATGGCAACTGGAGGTAAAAGATCAAAACTGGAGGTAGGTCTGCATCAAAGTTCAGTATTGAACTTCCTTTTGGTTCAGTTTGGTATAATGTGAAAGTACGGGAAATATACAGGGGAAATTCTGTGCAATTTAATGTACACAGAGACATAAGTTGGAGGCAAATAATCTGGAAAATAATTAGGAAGAAAACAGACTATTTAGAATAAATACGATTTTGGTAATAACAGCAATTTACGGTCAAAATGCTAAATTTTTAAATCCGTTTTACAAAACAATGGAGAATTTTGAATGAAGACCTAAATAAAGTAAGAATAGTGAGTTCACAGGTGGAAAATTTCTATTGGACAGTTGTTAATCTATGGTTTGAAATGTTGGGCAGTGAAGATCCACTCAGAAATTACACGTCATTGAAAAGAACATAATCTAGGCTTAAATACTGTATGGATCACTGCAAAACCAAAAACGTGAAAATTTAAATGTTTTTTTTTTATTATAATTTTCAAAATTGTGACTCCACGTTTCAGTTGATTGGGTGCAAAAATATATAATTTATAAAAATCAACTGTCAAAGTTATCTATTTACTATTATTTAACATTAACACATTATTTATTTGGGATAATGTTCCATTAATAAGAATCCTAATTTAATCCAACAGTTATTGCGGAAATATATAATTTTGAAAAAGTTATAAAAATATTGTCATAAATTCGTTACCTTGTCAGATGCCGACTATCTTCGTGTACTGACATTTCTGAGCTTTTAAACTCGTTCAATTCTTTTCTGATCGCTGCTTTGTCCTTAGGAGTCAACCTCGTCCATGGCTTGTCAGCCCTGCGATCATAGTCATGAGCCTGAGTGACTTCTATGTAATCATTGAATCTGATAATCTTTTTTTCTTTCAATTCTTCAACGGTTGGCCTAAAACTTAGTTTTCGCAACAGGAATCGTTTCTTTTCTTCTTTTTGTTTCTTCTCTTCAGCTGGACTTTGTTCTAAACAAAATAAATGTTTTATTAACCACCTTATTCAATTTTGCTAACAAGCTATGATAATAAGTTAATGTTCATGGAGTTTATCATAAAAAACTTTTGTTGATGTTACTGTTTAGTTTTTAATGACGTAGTTACACAGCAAATGATCACCATAATTGTTTTTATTTTCAGGGTTGTTTAATGATTGAACCAGAAAACGTTCTTAAGCCATCATAATCTCAATTATGAGAATAAAACCAAATATATGTTTTACACAAACAAACAAAAAAATAGTCTGAGTGAATGTTTTATGTGGTAATTTTCTACAGTTGTAAATTTTTTATTACATCATGACATCTGAAACGCTTTTCTTATAGTTTAATTAATGATTGACATTCCCATTTTAGATTTGTAACTGAGCACTGTAACTCGACCACATAAATCGCGTTCAAAAGTAGACAAAAAAGGGCTATGAGCAGTGAGCACAGGTATAAGAAAATCAATGTGTTAAAGATAGGATACTATGTAATACATAAAAGTGACAGCCTACAGCTGTGAGAGTTCCGTTGCGTTGATAATATTCACATAGTTATACAGGAGGTAAATGAAAAGTATAGATAGCCAAAAGGTCATCAGCATCTTACTTTGTTATTATCGGTTCGATTTGTACCGAAAAACGTAATTCCATGTGAAATAGATATATATGACATATTTAACGAAAATACATGCATAGTATCTTCGCCAAAGGGACATTAGCATTAACTGCAGTATTATTGGTCCGATTGAAACGAAGGAAACGGGAAGTGATTCGAAATGTCATACACATGCCGTATTTAACGATAAAACATACGTCAATACATAAAAATAATAATTCTTAGATAGCAGAAGAGGTAGCTAGAATAGGTAGTGTGTGCCCATCGAGATAGAATAAAGTAGAGATGACAAAACACTATTTTGCGATACCACAGATGGAAGCACTTCGAGTGACAGAAAAGTGTAATGAAAATGGCGAGTTGAGTGGTATTTTGATTTCTTTGAAGTAAATAATTTTATATTTGAAGACTGACAGAATGAAAATGATTTTATATAATTTAAATTAAACTATTTAACAAAAATGGCATTTATTTTCACCAAAACTGACTAGCTCCACTATCTCGAGTTTGACATAAGACGTAAAAGTGTAAGGCAAAGGTGCTGACACTAGCATGGTCATAGGATTTCCTGTTTATTCTATCTCAATGTGAGTGTCAGTTAGGAAAAGAAAAGAATTGAAAAAATGAGAACATAGTCAAAACAGTGAGGGAAAGTAGTTGTTTGGTAGTTATGGCGATGGATTTTATTAGCAATTTGATTAAAAGTGATAGTGGAAAGTCGAATATTTTGATAATGGTAGATATTTTTTCGAAAAATTCGATAACTTGTACCTGTCTAAAAGCACTATTTTTTGCAGAGAAGGAAAGATTCAGAGTTTTTAAAGAGGTAGTTAAGAAAATTTGGATAACGCTACTTACTTCAGGAATACAAAATACAGGAATTTTTGTAGAAAAAAAATCATATAGAATGTGCGAAACTACTGTTTCCATTTGAAGGTCCGTATGTGTTTAGATACAAGGATCAGGGGATAGAATTAGAGGAATGTTTGTATTTTTCAGGTCATGTAGCGATAATGGAGAGTCAAGCTTTTGAAAATGTACTACTGCTCAATTTTACATTATTACATTTGTTTAATTTTTAAAAACAAAAAAAAATTGTTTAAAGTTTTTTATTTAAAACAATGACACACTCCTAAAATTATATTGTATGATTTTGATTTTCAGATTATTTTTATAAAATTTTCAATTACTTTTCAATATGTTCCTTTCCTCCAGTTCTTCCTGAGTAGGTCGCATACTCAACCGTCTGATCAGCCTAGCCCCAATTGCCTCTTTAGTCTCCTGCCTCTCATTTTCTGATTGTATTTGCAATATATTCCTGTTTATTAGTTCTTGTCTATCTGGCCTAAGAGCTAATTTTAACGACAAACTTTCCTTCCTAGCCAACTTGATAGCCATTTGCTTTTCTTCGGACAATGACGAATCTTCATCCCTGTATTGGATTGGACCTGCAAATATAAAGGTTCAATTTTAGATTACATTATTAATTAATCACATACAGTCTTAGTTATAGTCATTTACACACAGTAAATCTGTTGTGGATTGAATGTGTACAATTTTACACCAAATTCATATACATATACAAGTAATACATATTTAGGGTTCATGTACTAACAATCATTATTTTGGGTCAGATACAGGAAAAAGTATCCAAGTACTAGATATGGATACTTATAAGTACGGATACTTTCACCTAAAAATGTACTCAAGATACAAGTATCTGGGCCCTTTTTTCGGGTACTTTAAAGAATACTTTTTAGAGTACTTTTAAAATTAGTTGAAATAATGTTTTTAAGCCAGTAGTCCCATACTACTAGGCATTTATAGAATGCTGGCAAGATCACAACTTTCAGTTCCTGCCTTGCTTGTGTTGAAGTGAATACTATATGGCGCATGCACATGCAGGAAAAAAAACGACGCAGTATCCAATGCTGACATTCACAGATAGTCGCGGGCCGGTAACCCGCTATCAAACGGTAACTGGCAACGTCGATACCACATTCTGTCCTCTTCTTCACATGGGAACATCATTTAATATTCACTCCAAACACAAGCAAAGCGACACACGAGGGTTTGACCTTACCAGCACTGTATATCGAAAATAAAAAGCGATATCATAAGAACAGGAAAGAACGTCTCTAGTCTTAACCATAATCTTAACAACTCAAACGACAAGACTTTACAGGCTTTTTCCTGTAAAAATTTGCTCACGTCCTTGGCGATATCTTTTTTTTAATGAGACATTTTAAATTTCATAGGGTGTACCAAAACAAAACAGCAAATATCAATCGTTTCAATTAACCTACTTCTAGTTAGTACAATAATATGGTTAATTTTTTAGTATGAATATAGTGTATTACATTAAGAGTGTGGAAAGTGACATTTTTCAAACGAGTGGGAAATATTGTCGCACGAGACACAAGCCGAGTGCGACTATCACACGAGTGTGGAAAATCACCTTCCACACAAGTGATATACAATATGTTTCCTACGACCACAAAATAATTTCATCAAAAAATGTAAAGCCAGGTTATTATTATAATAATTAAAATGTATTTAAAAAAATAATCAACAATAATCGTATTTATTCAATTTTCATATTTTCTAAACAAATAAAAAAAACTAAAAACCAAAAAAAAATAAAAAAAACAAAAAAAAATTCTGCCCCCGCAAGGATTTGAACGCGGTCGCTCGCCAGGTCTCAAATGGCAGAGTTGATAAAGTTTGATACTCTACCATCTGAGCTAATAGGCCTTGCGTCAATTGAATGATCTAATCGGTTATGTGTTTAACCAGAATAAAAAGCAAACATAACTTAGTTATTTTAAAATTATTTTTAAAATAATTGTTAAAGATAAATATCTAGGATCTAATTTACAACAATTTCAATAATTTAACAATCATATCGATTTTAGTATTAATATGGACATTACTTATATCAAAATAGAAATGATGCTTTGACATTTTGTGACAGCTGATTCGGAAAGCATATTCGCACACGGGTGGAAAGTAAATTCTTATTCATACGCGTGTGATATAGGGCACTTTCCATAGGACTATATAGTGTGATATGTGTCACTTTCCTAAGTGGTCGTAGGAAAAATAAATATTAGTATTACTAGTGGATTAGAAGTGTTAACAATTCTCAAAATGAATTATTGTTTCATGTTCCAATCTATAGAAATTCACCAATTACTTTTTTTTTATACACTAGGAGTGCCAGAAGATGAAGTTATAAACGTCGAAACCGGTCGCATTCATATCTTTGTAAGATTCAAAGGACCTTTTTCTTCTCTACCTTTTCACTTATAAAAACTAATCAATCATAAGATAACAAGAATGAAACAAGACCAAATTCAAAGTTTATTTTTTTACACCAAAGGCGTAACAGTGAAAGAAGATAACACATTTTGTGTGAAGCAGTTTTTATCTGACAAACGTATTGTAGTACATCTGAACATCATCTATATTTGCCAGGATTTATACTTTGTGACTTTTTGTGCATGGCATTTAGAAAATGACAGATCTGTTGAAAGAGAGAAAGTAGCTGAGCTACTGCACGTTTTCTTACACTAGCTGAGGCATTTAACTCCTTTCAAACTTTTGACTATAAACCATCGAGATAGAATGAAGTAGAGATGACATAAACACTATTTTGCAATATGACAGATGAACGCACTTTGAGTGATAAAAAAGTGTAACCAAAATGGCGACTTAGAACTGTACTTTGATTTATTTGAAGTCAATAATTTTATATTTAAAGATTAATGGAATGAAAATGTTTTTATATCTCTTAAATGTAGCTATTTAAAAAAATGGCATTTATTCTTGCCAAAACTGACTCGTTTGACTAGCTCGAGTTTGACATATGAAATAAAAGTATAATACAAAGGTGCGGATCCTGTTAGCATCGTCATAGCATTTCCTCTTTTTTTCTATCTCAATGCTATACAGTAATAATTATTATCATCTATTATTCCATCAGTAACGCCATAAAAAAACTCAATTATTGAAGTTCCAAACTGAACTCGGTTGGTGAATTATTGAATCAGTCTTTTAAAAGGCAGATACCAATTGGCCACATCATTATTACTGATATATTGCGTAGCCCCCAACTTATGGTATATTTAAATTTGCATTCAGTTACAAAGCCGGTTATTATTATTATTAGATGATCTATTAGATTTTTTAACAAAGTCAATAAAACAAAAAATAAAATTACAAACCGTCATTTGAGTCACTGTCACTTTCATCCTCTCTGATGATAAACGGCCTTGCATTTTCTTTGTTTTCTATGGTGGTTGGTAAACCAAATCTTACAGGTTTACCGCTACTGAAAGAAAATAAATTAAGGAGTCACTTTTAAGTTTTAATTTGAACAGAGTGTGATAGAGTGTTTTGTAACATATTTATAAATGGTTGGAGAATTTATTTTCAAATGTTTAGGTTGTTTCACAATATACAAGGTGAAAAGGAAATAACTCTTGTAATTATAAAAGCTCAATATATTTTTGTGTCCTAAACAACCCGTTACTCAAAAAAACATACAAATATAATGTTATTTTGAAAATATGGCTCTTTATTAGTGTTACTATTAGTTATTTTTTAACGCATTCTTCCTGGATACTTTCCGTAAAATGATTAAAAAACTGTCTAAACTATATTTAAATGATTTAATTAAAAGCAACAAAAAGTAATATAGTGTCTTTTAAAAACTGTATTTTTTTAACGTTAGCAGCTTTTTTAAATTTTATATTAGTATATCAAAAACTTTTATTTGATTATAATTAGCCAAAAAGAAACTTTTTTCATAGTACATATCTACAGCCAGTGATAAACAGCACGAATGTATTCCTAACTCGTAGTTACTTTCAACTTTACTCAGAGGTGAAACGTATACCCTTAAAAGTATTTATTAATATGTTACAAAACACGAATATTATTCAGTTACAAAAAATAAAAAAAATGTGCTTTTATAAAAATGAGAATTGTGTTAAAAAATAATCATTTCTTCAAACAAAATTAAATTAAAATTGATAGATGCAGAGATTTAGAAATTAACAACCAAAGCAGTGATACACATAACATTAAACAAATAAGATCCATTCAGAGAAACTGATATAATACGTTTTTATTTAATTTTCAATAAAATGGATGAACAAGAGTTAAATTCAAATTTTCTTCCAAAATTACTTGTTTTTTGTAAATTATTAAATCTCTTGCCGTTTTTAGCTTGATTGTAATGTAAGGCGTTTGAGATTTGAGTTCTACTTATTTATGTATATTCAGTTTTTTACATTCTTAATTCCTTTCCATCTTATGCCTCTTTTTGTTTCTTTTTGAATTCGCTCAGTCTTCGAGCTTCCCACCTTGTTCTGGACACATTATTCTATAATAGCTTCATATCTTGTTTTTGTGGAATCTTATTCACTCATTCGACAATACCATCTAATTTATTCATTATGTGTTTATGTTTTTATTCAAAAATCACATTTCCAATGCGCTAATTCATTATAGTTTTTTCGTCCATAAATCACAGATTACATTTTTTTTTAAATATTATGAAAAGTTTCAGTTAGGTATTTATTTTTAGTAAATACAATAAATTTTAGTAATAATATTACTTGTAAAATGAAACTTTGAGTACTGGTCGATGTTTAAATATTGGAAAATATATTTTCATAAATATCAGAACATACATGATGTTTACAACTAACAATCGAAAAAGAATTAACAATATTGTCCGTTATGTTTGTAATTATTGCCCTATTTCAGTTTTTTGTTGTATGTCCAGATAAAAAAATAAAAGTGGTGGTATTGATATGAACGATTAAGGATCACTACACTTAAATATATTTACCATATTCTTATCCTAGGCCTCAGATGCGACCTTCTGTGTCAAGTATAAAATAAAAACAAATTAGAAATAATGTAAAATATGCAATATAATTTAGGAGATTTTATTATATCGATTTTTAGGTATTAATCAGTATAAAGATAATAAAACACAAAGTGGGACTGGCCTAATGTACCTCGGAAAATATATAAAATATTTTTATACATCTTCAAATTATAGGAACATTTTTCATTTCAACCGATTTAAATTTAGATATTAGATGATTTTAAATACACGTATCAAAATAATCTAGAGTACTAGAGTATAAATAAAAAAAATTGCTCTTAAACAGTCTATATGAAATTGTTTGAAACACGATACCAAATGTAAGAAAAATGTCAGGTTTTATACTAACAAATAATATATCAATAAAACGTTTGAAGAAGATGCAAAGTAATGTTTAAAGGTTATAGTAATTTATGGATTTCTTCACTATATTACTTTTATGAGTATGTGTGAGTTAAAAAACAATGTCTTTAAAATTGACGATAATATGGTATATCCTTGACAGATTTATTTTCTTAGTATGGTATTTCATGTTTCTCATTGTAAAATCTAGATCTAGCATACGTCTTTTGAAAGAATTTAAGATGCAAGTTTAAACTACAAACTTTTGTTAAATATCCCTACAACCCTCTTTCCCAAATCTAAAAGTATAAATATAAATCTGTTTTTAAAAGCTATATATGAATGAATAGTTAAATTTAACGGAAAATAAAACAAATAAATGGATAATAAACTGCCCTCTATGAACATAATTCACTCAAGAAGAGGTTTAAAAAAAAGAAGGAAATTTTTACATAATGATAAAATTTTATTATGAGGTATGAAGGTTTTGTTTTAATTTTTTATAAAAGAGTAAGGAGGATAAGACTTAATTCTCGTGTAGGGTATAGGTGATTAAAATATTTAAGCAAAATTTCCTAAATATAAATTTAAAAAATCGCAAGTGAAGTATGTATATTGTGTATATAAAATTTGAAAAACATCTAAAAATCAACATACAGTAATATCAAAATAGAATTTTGGGAAAATCTCCAAATTTTGTACTTGCTAAATTTAAGTACAAAAATAATTACTTTGATTCTAGAAGTATTTTGCATAGAAACACTATTGGTTTTTGCAAAATTAAATCTAAAATAAAAACGTTCGACAACTCTGTCACAAATATGTTTTTAACCTAATTATTTTTTACATAGGGAGTGTTTTTTTATACAAAAGCAATAATTTTTTGAGCAAAAATAATGTTACATAAGTTTTGAAAAAAAGTTTTAGGACTCTGTAGAATATTAAATCTACCCCGACTCATTTATGTGCTAGGGGTTTCGTCAAATTATTTCATATTTGTACCCAAACTTCACATGATGGGGTACAAATTAAATATGCAAATAAATATCTAAAACCCTGATTGGACAGAGAATACGAGAAAGGTTTAGGTAAGATCTTTATGGGGCATAATATTTCAAGATCTACAATAACTTCAACTATTCGTGATTGCGAGAAAACAACTATTTATTAACCTGCTAAAAAGTGGACGCCCACTAAACTAACTCAGGTTCAGACTAATAGGATAGCCAAACCAGGAATACATCACAAGAAAATGCCTATTATCAATTAGCATCATGTCGTTGATGACTTTTTGGGCATTTATTGGCTGAGAAAGTTTATAAAAGTTACCGGGGAAGCCAAAAAAGAACAAAAAATTTTCAATTTTTAAAAACTTAAAGAATTTGACCGACAATTAGAGAATTTAATTGACCTAACACCAATGTGTCAGGTAAATATTTTGAGTAATTATGCATCAACTTCCCCAGTAGCAATTTAATTACTAAATGTTAGATTGATCATATGTCATTTGTATATTAGTTTGGCCAAATGTGGATTTCTTGAATTCACATAATCTCAAAACGTATGTAACAGGTGTAACAAATATTTTGAATCAATATGAAATATGTATTGAATTTGGGAAAAAGTGGATCTAGTTCAAACTAGATAAGAGCGGTAGAGCTAGAGATAGTGCAATTTTTGTCAAAATAAATTGAAAAATAGTAATTTTTGTATCGAAATTCATACACAAACACTCAAATTTTCAGTCGACCTAACATTAGTTTTAAAAAGTGAAAAGTGAAAGTTGCCTCCTTATTTCCTCCTTGGCATTTGATTTTAACTAACAACTGATGTTAACAAGAAAACCTACTTGAAACTAGAGTTGTACTCCTGTTGTCTCATTGTTAGAGGCCTATTTTCTTGAGTCGGTGTACCTTGCGGTGTACCAGGACCGCTGTTTGATTTCTTTTTCAGTGCGGATTTTAATGGCATGGCATGGAATTTTGGTTCCTTAGCTGGAATCTCGTCGATGCGGCTCGTGTCGATTGACGGATCTGGTTGGGGCATTCGGAAATACTGCTCGTCGTCGTATTCTACGTCATCATCATCTTCATCGTCTTCGTTTTCTGAACAAAAAAGAAACATTTCTTTAAATATATTCCAGCCTAATAAATACTATATAGTTAACGTTTTTAAATAGTTAGATATTTGATGAAGGGTACCTAGGTGATTTTCTGAGAGGCCTTGTACCCCTTTCTTTATCTTAAATAGACCTGCTCCTATAATTATAAAAAGACGATTTGGGGAAAGGATCAAAGACCAACAGTTGAATTGGGAATATATTATATGCAGTAAGATCAAGCAATGATATCAGCCTAAACTTTATGCAAAACGTCTGTATTCCAAGCACCAAATCAATTGTGGCATGTCTAAACTAAAACGTAGCTAGGAAATACTCTTGAAAATCCATCTATATTCCCTCAGACTTCAAAGAAGTATTAAAATCAAGTAAACTCTAAACTGGTACATAATTGTCTACAAACCCTAAAAACACATACAATTCATAACAAGGCAACACTTATGTGAGAGCCAGGATATAGAAGGTGGTGAATAAGTTGAAAAACTTGCAAAACAAATATCAGAAGAGAACTTCGTAAACCCTGAACTAGATAGAATATCATTTATAACAAAATGACATTAGAACATCGTTTTCGGAATTTAGGAAAAGACCTGAATCGCCAACAATTTAGAGACGTAGTTGACATATTGATAGGACACTACATTACAATGCGTGTAAAATTAAGGCTGGAAACGAAAGAAAATAGTAGACTGTATTGTATTCTATACTGCTATTCTTAAATACATTAACATAACCAAATAAAGTTGTTGTGCACCGATAGTCACTATTTCTTTCGTGAAAATACCTATTTTTCTGTCTCTCAAATTCAACATAGCTGAACAGATAACGTCTTGAGATAATAATCGATAATAATTAATCCTGGACATTTAATAGTGTTTAAAATTAAATAACTAAGTAATAAGTCAAATGGTTATACTCGTAGGCATTCGAATCCATGAAATGTTCTTGGTTGACTTTCGAGTAAAATGATGAGATGTCTTCAAAATTCCCTTAAATTTTCGTTGTAACTTCTGCTGGAATAGAAGATTCTTTAGTTTTTTACACTAGGACCGACCGTATTCAAATATTAATATGGTAGATTTTGAAAGGTTTAATTTTTATTTCGAAGACTTGTAAAATAAACATTTGGAGATTGAAAAAAATTCTCAGTATTTAGAAGCAGATATGAATAAATGTATTCAAATAATAAAAAAAAATACGTGTGGCACTCGGGGACTGCCGCGGTAAAGCTATTGCATAGCATTTTTTATCAACTTATGCAATTATAATTATTTATTTTATTTATGCAGTATTTTTTTTTCTTTGATATTAATTCAAGTATTTTCTTTGATATTAATTCAAGTTACACTTTTTGAGCGTGGTGACCGATAAGAAAACAATTTTTTTTCTTTTATTGAATAAATGAGAAATTAATATTGTTGTACTTATTGAAAAAAAAATATATATATATTTCCTATTTGTTTATCTTTTTGAATTTAAATAAACGAAGTCTCCACTGGTAGCTTGCATTTTTAAAATTAGCTGAACTTGAATGAACCTCGTTATGCGCCACTATGCATTGAATAAGTATATACTTTTTTAAAACTAAACATTTTAAATTACCAAGACTGTGAAATAATAAAACAATATTTTTAATTTTTTTTAAGTAAAAAAAAAACAAAAAAAAACTAAAAGTTTCAGGGCTCGAACCACCAACTTTGCTATCCACACTATCCAAATTTTGACCACTGTACGCTCTGCGCCACCGAGCACATTTTGATATAAGTTTGGAATCGTTTATACTAATATATAACATTTGATTACAAATATTTACGAATTATTACTTTTTAATTAAACAAAAATAAATTGGAAACAAAATTTTATCATGTCAAATGATATCTACATTGTAATTTATTTATTTATTTATTTATTTATAATACAATACTCTACAGGTCATAAACCCAATTACAGAGCAGGAATTGACAGAATATAATTATTAATAGATCACATAAAAAGAACTTGTATTTCGTAATAGGTAACAAATTAATTTAATTTAACGGAATCACATAAATATATGATTTAAAAACTATAAAAGATCATTATTACTTAACTTCTAGTTCTTGTATTGCATAAACGTTCCAGTCCGCAGACGTATATTTAACTCCGCTTCATACTAATACGAATAGGGTCGGATAAAACCTTACATGGCTATAACGCCGTACCGCTGTGCCGGTCGGAGTGGGGGGTGTTAGGTTTTTTCGTTACGGTGTTACGAAATTTCTTGATTCGGTCGCCACTCAAAGCCCGCAATAAAAGCTATGCAATTTCTTAAAACAAAAACTTACCGTCATAATCGTAATTGTGATGGTTGGGTGGCGGTGACAACCTGTTGGGCACCGGGCTAGGCGAGCTGAACATCGGCGGTGGTGGAATAGGACCGATTTCCGAAACGGGAATGGGCGGTTCGGGCAGTTCAGACAGCATGAACGACGGCACTCCGACGCCCATGGGCAGGTGTGGCGGAGGGATGTTGTGAAGCTGCTTTTCGTGAGGCGGTGGAGTGCTGCCTGGGGGAGCCTGACCATCGGTAACTGAAATGATTATATTTTCATTATTTTATTGACTTTAAGTCTTATATTATTATATTTGTGAAAAACTGAGATAAACAAAAGAAATAGGTAATCGGCAGGCTTTGTTTGAAGCCAACATCTACCCTTCATTCTATTACTTTCTCTCTCTTCTGGTGCTTCGATGTTATTCGTCTATTTTAAATTGGATCGGCAAATTTCAAAATTGTCAGTTTTGTTTGCAAATTTCTTGTGTTTTTATATTACCTCAGTGCGTTTTTTAAACAAATTTTATTAGTTTTAAGTGTTCTAAAATGTACATTTTTTTGGAGTAGTTCCACTTCGTTTCATAGGCAAGTAAATAAGAAAATATTAGTTTTGGTACATTACCCAATCAAAGAAATTTGTAAACAATTACAAAATATTAAAAGACAAACCATATAAGCACTATTTATATTTCACACTTCTAATTTATTTAACAATTTTACCTTTACAAGATTTGACAAAATTTATTTTTAAAATTTAACTTAGTATGGCAAAAGAATCCACTTGTATACAAAAATGTAACGGCCTAGAAAAAATCCAATACTGACTCGAAGAATCTCGATGCGTTCGCGAAATTCTTCCTCTACGCGTCAGCCGGCATACAAAGAACATTCCAGTCGATTCTCGATCGGCCAGCGTCAGCTGTAATGGCAGCGGTGAGGGTAAACAAAGAACAAGATCTGACCGGTTGCAAGACATTATGCAATACCTAATACAAGTGGAGTGCGAAAGCTGAAAGTGTTCTGCTAAGCAAATTTTATTAACAATATTTTATATAATATAATAAGAGTGTTATCCATTTCTAAATATTAAAAAAGTTTTTAGTAGATTAAATTATGTTTGTTAAATCTTTTTAGATAAAAATAGGGACTATTCTACCTCCTACTGATTGTAATGAAAAACAGAGCCTAAAAGAGGTTTACATTTCAAACAAGTCACCATCACCCAAAAGGAAATTCACAATAATTAAAATATTGTCGTAAGAGTTATTTTCGACCAATACATTCATGCTAATCCCTTCGTTTACCTTATTTAAATCATCAATTTTTCTTGTAACAAAGGAGTCATCTACGAAACCTTCTTTTGATCCCCCTGTGTTTCGCGCTCGCCTGTCGAACGAGACACTCAGTCTGCAAGGAATTCATGGCGATCGGTGAAGAAACTGCTAGAAAGTTGCCCTAACTTATCTAGTACGTTCTAGAAATACCTAAAATTCTTCGAGAATACTGCGGTGCGCAGTATGCTCGTATAGAAAGCGCGACTTTGTCGATTGAAGTTTATAGATAGAAGTTGAAGATAAACGTCCGAATTGTTATATAAATTAAATTATAAGTGTGAAATATAAATCGGCTAAGCATTTACGTATAAATAAATTAATTAGTGTTTAGTGTATGTAAATAAATTATAAATAATAAACTGTTTCAAATAAACAAACTGTTTTAAATATATTTTTAGTTACAGAAAAAGGTGATGACTCGAGTGATGACTCATATAAGGTAAAATGGAGAACTTAAAGGATTAGCTTACCGTATTGGTCGAAAATGACTCGCACGAAATTATAATTTTTATCAGAATTATTAAGGAATATTGTAATTTTTTTTACAACTTCTGGATCATGAAATTATAACTAATTATCCACAAAATAACAAAATAGAAGGTACCTAAAGTGGTTGGGATGCATTGTTGGAATGAAGGAAGATAATTAAATGAAATAAATTTGAGAAGCGAGATGGGAAAGAAAAACGAAACGAGGTAGTAGCGAGGAAACTGGAAGCGAAAAATAGGAAATCCTCTATAGAAAAGAAGGAATCCAAGATTGAGGCATATACTATTGAAAAAGACAAAAGATGATGCCAAATTTTTAGTGAAAGCCATTACAATTGTTTTAATAAATACTGGGTATTAAGAGTATTAAATATTCTTATTTAAAGAAATGAACAAAAAATCTTAATAAATATGGGCTCGCAAAGCAACGGTTTCGGAGATATAGTAGGTGATTCTTTTTTTAAATATTCAATTGTAATTAGTTATTACTTATATTTATTATTTCATTGTAAAAACAAAAAAAAATAGCTTCTAGCAAAAACAAAAACAAATTTACATAAGATGTTCAAAGTGTCCTCCTTCCATTTCCATGCATGCACGACATCTTTTTCTGAAGGATATTGGAACTCTTCCATAAACCTTCTTATTAGCTCGGATTTATTGGCATTTTTGATTAATTCGTAGCTACAGCTCGTCGAGACTATATTGAGACTGTTTTCAAATATTCCCAAAAAATAAATCTAGAGGGTTTAAATCAGGCGATCTTGAAGGTCATAATACAGGTCCGCCCCTTTATATTCATCTACGTAGAAAATGTTGGTGTAAAATGATCTTTAACGGCAATCTAAAAATGAGCTGGAGCACCATCATTCTGTGACCAGATTTTTTGCTTTTGGTTCAAAGGAAAGTCGTCTACAAGATCACGCATTGTGTTCCGCAGAAAGTTTAGATAAGCAGCGCCCGATACTCGGTTTAGTAAAACAACAGGACCTACGATACCTACGATACCCGTCCAAATGTACAACGAAAAACGTGTCTGATTTCTAGATTGCATTAGAGCATGGGGATTTTCGTCGGCCCAAACATGCGTATTGTGAAAATTAACAACTCCATTTCGTGTGAACCCACCCTCATCAGTAAAAAGAATATTGAAGTAGAAACCAAAACAAAAAAGTGCTTGATGCTGAAGTGGATTTTTTAAAGCCTGTAATCATTGTACATGGTACGGATAAAGCAGCTGCTCGTAAAGGATTTTCGAAACAAGAGGAGAACTAATTTCTACCTTGGCTGATATTCTCCGCACACTCGCCCCGGATTATCCTCTATCCATGCTAGAATTTCTTCTTCTGTTCTTGGAGTAGATACTGACCTTGGTCTTTCGGGTAAATAGCACTGTTTGCTCAATGAACCGGTATCACTCAATCTTTGGTGAATTCTTCCAAACCTACAATGTGATGGACTCTGGCGATTTGGATAAGCTTCACCATAAAGACGTCGCATTTCAGTGGCAATCCTATAGACACGACCTTAGAATATGTTCTAAGGACACGACCATACATGAAATGCATGTCGGTTAATTTTGCAAACCAAAACTTGTGACAACAACACTCAAATACTTAATGTTTATTTCACAAAACATCAGACAACTATAATAAAAAATGCAAAATAAAAAAGGAGAGAAAAAGAATAACCTTCCATATCTCCGAAACCGTTACTGTGTGGACCCATGTTTATTAAGACTTTTTTGTTTATATCAGCATCAACTACTAAGAATATTAGCCTCGTGTCCTGTGCAAACCTTGTTACTGTTTCTCAGCGCTACTTTAGGAACAATACTGTTAATTACCTATGCATCAGAATTATTTTTAAATAATTAAATTAAATTAAAAAAATCCCGGCCAACGGTGAGATTCGAACCCAGGTCCCTTGGATCCGAAAGTCCAGACTCTAACTACTGAGCCACCCACCCCCTTTTTGATTTTATTATCTCATTATTAAAATATATTTCTTGTAATCCTAATTAGGATGTTTCTATTATTGACTAGTACCTAGCCAATCAGGAAAAATTAGTAACCAGTAAGAAATTAATTTTCTTGGCTCAAAACAAAGATATCTTACAATGCCAGAAGCGAAAAAAAATTATTTATTAAATTCTATCCAACCACTTTCAACAGCAACCCCTATAAAATCTAAAAATAACAAACATGTGTCGCCGCGTATATTTCAACTTTAAAATCATATTTATACTTACAATATTCGCTGTGATAACACAACAATCTCCTGGTTAGCTTTCCGTGGCCCAACGTGCTCGGCCTTTCCGGCTTACCGACATTTTCCATTCCGTGAGGTTGAGTGACATGCGAGGGCGTTTCTCCATTCGGAGAAAGAGCGCCGTTCTGTGCCGCTCCATCAGTCTTTTCTTTTTTCGGCTCTGTAACAAAGAAGAAATCGGCGTTATTGTGATTGCCTATTGTCAGTGCAATGGGTCACGAAAACTGAGAACGAGCATGAAAAAGTGGAAACAGAGAAATCCATTAAAAAACGTTTTAACGTTGTTCTGGAAACTTGAAACGATGTGTTTTTACCACTTATGTAGTTGGTGTAGTAGACGTAATATAAAATATTTTTTGCGTGAGGTGAAAAGAGTAAAATAAAATAATAAAACTGATTTTTAGTAGTAAATAAATTAAGTTCTGTGGAAATGAAGTTTACACACCAAGATGGAGTTAAAGTTAGTCGTTAAAGTTCTAGAAGGTAATTTCCTATGGGAGAAATATTAAAATTTCTCAATAGTAAAGTTCCTATCCGTCAAGAACTTTCGAAATTATTCAATACCAATAAGTCAAATAAAAACCGAACATAGGACAAGCCACATTTAGATTGAACCTCCATTTTCAGATGTTCCTGATTTTATATTTGATGGTCAAATTGTTCTGTGGTCGCATTAAAATAATGTACATCGACTGCGCGGATTGTCGCACTCGGCAAACGACTCCTGAGTCAATATTTCGTAAGTGGGAAATTATTTTGCATTGTAATTATGGTTCCACTGACAATTGAAGTGACAGTAGATTTTTTGAGTGCGTTTTGTTCGTTTTGTTCTTTTTTTCTCTTTTATAAATATATTTCTAAAGTAAGTTTAGTTACCAATTACATACCTTTAAACTATTTTTCCTGCAAACAATATTTAGAAAAAAACTTAAAATAGTAAAAACGTATATGTCAAATTTATTGATGTTTTTGTTAAAAGTATGGTTAAAATTAAATGTCAGTGGACCCAAAATGACATCACACTAAACTGGCGTATTGACCTTTCCCATCATTCGACAATTCCGGAAGCAGAAGCGGATGATTAAAACACACCTGATATTTTGCTTGCTGCTGTCAGTGTCAGTGAATATTATTTTTGAAGTCACAGTTTATTGCTAAAGAATCAGTTAGCTCACTCGGACCAGTTGAAAGTTCAAAAATAACATCCACTCCAGGGATACAAATTCAGGATACGCAGAAGACTGCTGTTTTATTATAGGCGGTTGTCATATATTGTATTATCCTTTGAATACATTATTCAAAGGTATTATCCCAGTTGCACAGTGTATAAACTGAAACATTGAGATCAAAAGTGCCGACGCAGAGTGAGCGATCTGATTCTTTAGCTGTAAACTGTGTCACAGGGTTCAAAATGGCCGCGCCCTATGTTGGGCGTATCGGATCTCTCTCTTGCCTCGTATATTAATCAAAGTGTGTGATGAGCCTAGTGATTTGACAGAGTCAATCATATAGATAGTTATATAGATTGATCATCCATGTTTTTAAAAATAAACCTAAGCTTATGCCTTGAAATAAAAATGCAGGTAATTATTTTTTTTAATATATTCAAAGGCTGGAAATTGGTTTTAAAACACATTTTTGCTAAACCGATTCAAATTAATGAACACTTACTAGACAATATGGGCACTAGCAAACCACGGTTCGTAGACAACACGGCGGCCTTATCATGGTTGCTAACGACGCAGTGACGTCACGGAATGAAAACGTGAGTCGACAGAAATAATTCAAATTTGGGTCGTACATTAGTTTTTTAAAATCTCCAATATTTTATTGTTATTTAGTGGTGTTTATATTTTTATTATTGAACTTTGTTTTGGTGTTAGAGTTTTTATAATATCGGTAGTTTGATTTTTTGAAAGACGATCTACAAAACAGCAAGGAAAAATTATGTAATGGTTTCCATCATATTTCAAATAAATTTATTTTTATTTGAATTACAAAGAGAAATATTATTGTGTTAATGGTTTATTTTAAACATTTGTTTATCTTAAACATTTTGGTTTAAAGTACGGCCTCGAGCTGAATTCGGATCACAATTTGTTTATATCCCGAAATATTTTGAAATTTTGGCAAGTCTGGAGCGAGCTGTAGTGTTGCTGTTGGAAGTATTGGCAAAAATTTTTACCACCAAAATCATTTGGAGAAATAAAGGGACTGAGTCTAAACTGAAATTAAAGGCTAATGGTAAGATTTTAGAGTATTATTTTCTGCAAATATCATTCACTATTATTAAATTAATTGCAGTTTTGTACACCCTACATTTAAAAGCAGATGAGATGGTTTCTTACAAGCATTAAACACAATAGAAGAGCAAGAAGTCAAAGGGTTTTACTAAAAGAACCTACATTATCGAGAAAAGGATTTGCTTACAAGAAGTTTTTAGTAAAAAGTAGGTGGTTACAAATAATTTTATAGAAGAAAACAACTTCAGAAGGAACATAGTGTATATTTATTTCGAAAATAAAACATATTTTGTCAGTTTATAGTCATTTGATGTAAGAGCAGTATAATTCACTTAAAAAAAAACAATAAAACAACAACAATCCAGTTTTATTTTAATCTTTAAATATGCTACCCAATTAAAGAAAAACAGTTTTATCTATTGTGTTAAAATTACAATACCTGGTTATTTTTGGAACATCTCCAACAACGGTTTGAATGTTATTAATACGTTACTGTGATTCATATTATTAATGTATTCGAAAAAACGAGGAAGATTGATGTTAAGTGACAAATTAGAGTAGAAGTATTTGCCAGTTAATTTTATTCAACAGCCAAGGACAAATAGTTACCTTGATCAATTTTCCGAATAAAATGCATAGGTGTACAAGGGATAATAATTATTAATATATAAGTTAGTATATAATTACTAGTGACGAAAATAATGATTTTCTACAAGTAAAATACTACTGATTTTTCTACGAATACTATAATGGTATGTACTAAATTTAAAACAATTAGGTAAACAAATGTTTTTATTTTGTATTATAAGCAACAAAAAACCTTAATTATTAGTTTAATATTTAACAACTGACACTGATAGTTCTAAATAAGGAACGTTAAAACTGAAATAATACCAGATAACTAGATGTATGTTGTTGTAAATTATACAAAACGTATCAATCTTATATTCAGACAATTGAAAAGATGGAAAACAGTACAATAGCTGGGATTTACCATGTGAACTCAGTGAGGACCCTAAGTCTAATCCTGGTGTCACGGGCAATAGTCTTCTAGGCTGAAGTAACAGTAATAACTGCATGTGCCCAGGTTAGGATAAATGACTGTTAAAGATAAAAGGGTCTTTATTATGACAGACAACCAAGTGGCCCTTAAAGCGCTGAAAATGATAGAATTAAAATATATTAGACTGCCAACATCCACTTCAGGACCTGGCAGAACATAACAAGATTACTACTGAATGGGTGCTAGACAGAGATATAACCATTCATTGATAAAATATAATATTCAAGATGCCAAGATTAAGTCGACAATCGATATAATCTATTTGTAGGTCTGCGGCGAGAAGACGAAAGGTAAGAAGTAAGAGAAGGGATAAAGAGAAGGATTTTACGTAGATACAACTTTATTTTATCAATGAATAAATGTGTAAGCGATGTGCGCTTATAATAACCAACGTAACGGTCTAAGCCCTGTTGCCACTTCCAATTTACAATTACTAGGTTTTGGAATTTATTGAAAATTATTACATTTAATTTAGTGAAATTGCATCTAATTTAGTTAAATTTGATATAACTAATGATTCAAAATTTTTTGGGTTTAGTTGCAATAAAATATGTTGAATTATTTTACCTTCTTTAATATATGTAAATAATTTTGTAAACAAACAAAACGAGAATAATGAAATAGGCATATGACAACAGCGGATATTATACCTTCCTGTGTCCCTTAGAATATGTCTAATTCAGGACCGCACGATAATTGTTAGTAGTTACATCTCCTGTTATTTCTGGTGCTAGGCCATGAGGAAGTGTTGGGAAACGAGAAAGCAGGCTTCCTAGTCAGGAAGGGAGCTGAGAAAACTACTGTAATTGGACCAGAATCTACATGTGGTATTTCTTAGCAACATGTTAAAAGGATGCTAATGGAACAGGTAAATACAGAACACCATAAACTCTGGTTGGAACTTCCTGGACTCAGCTAGTCCAAAATATTCAAGAGCAGACAAAATCAGCTGCTAAACTTTAGCAGGAACGAACTAAATACCGTAATAGGACTCTTTACGAGACAATACGGTCTTAGAAGACACTTAAATCTCTTAGGAATATCTAACATAGACAAAACCCTAAACAAATTTGTTATAGTGTTAGTTATACCTCATAGAGAACGCAATTATTATTAAACGATTCTGTCAAAATAGCGTTATTATCAAAAGACATTTGTAGCCAAAGCGGATATCATATTATATTATTTAGTGGAAAAATTAAGTAGTCTTATAATTTTCATATCGAATCAACATTTTTATTTTCAGCTGTAAGGTCTAAATGGTAGAATTCAAGAATAGTGGCCGCACACACTAGCACACTTTAGATTTTATTACGGTCACTTAAAGACTCGCCAAAATCAATGATTTTAATAAAAATACGTTTGGAGCGCACCAAATTGAGGAAGTTGTGGGTGTCTCCTATGAATGGGTGGTATTTTAGACACCGTATTAGGGAATTGTTTATAAGTAGAGTAAATCATACATTTTTAAGGAATGTGATAATTTTCATACAAGGAAATAATTGGAGAAAGTGTGAGTAAGTCGAAAAATGAATAGAAAATTGTGGCAGAGTCTATTTAAAATAAAAAAATGAGACTGGCCTGTATTAATGTTATGTGTGTAATGAAAAGGATAAGGGAGTAGAGAAGAGTAATGAAGTAGTTTGAAAGGTGGAAGATCAATTTAATAATTAAATCGAAAATAAGCAGAATTTTTTACTCGTTAGAGTTACGCTTGGGAGGCTGAGTCTACACAACATAGTAAGATAAGACTGACTTGAATTGGTTTTAGTGTAAATGAGTTAAATCGGATGTGGGAGAGTCGGTAAAAGGGAGAGGTGAAAGAAATGACGCGATTGTAAGGATTAAGAATAT